TAATGCTCACATGTCCTCAAATAGCATGAAAACGGCAGCGAGTTCCCAGCCCTGATGCGTGCTTGCAGCGTGCTGAAGTGCAGAGCGTCACAACTCACAACGACCATGCAATACGCTGTTTTGCTAGGAGCCAGCATAGTAAATCCAGTTAGGCGATCCCGCCTGGCACATTTGGCATATGATAAGCCATCCACGTCACTTCAGACCCGATGGCGGTGGCAGCTCCTTTCCGCAGTCTCGGTGCCTCAGAGAGGCCTGTGCTGACTGCAAAAAGCTGCACGAAAAGAAAAGCCCACACCCCCTCTGGAATCAATGAAGTAGTTGCCGTGTTAGCGAACCCCCGCGCACCAGCATCCAGCCTCGCATAAGCAACATGAGTTCCACCAATCTGCGCCAGTGTACAAGTGCGGCTGGCGGTGCAGCGAGAGGGCCGAGACGCCGAACACAAAGGCAACCACCTGCAATCACGAGCACCAAACCTCCAAACGCCAGCGGATGCATGGTCCCATACTCCCACATGGAAGCCCAGAAGCGCCAGCAACTTCGAAAGGGGCTCCCGCAAAGAGCCCCGAAGCGGCGCAGGAGGCCGACAAAGGCGGGCCAGTCAGCTGAGGAGGGCGGGGGGGCCAAAACATGATCCCAGGTGTGGTTGACCGCCGGCACCGTGGCGGCGAAACCGCGTGCGAGGAGCAAAATCTGATCGTACTCGTCCTCCGCATTCCAACCGCCCACTTGCCAAACAGGGTTGGCCCAACGCGGCGCGAAGTGCATGCGAAGCAGCCGGAACTCGAAGACCACGAGGCCGTTGGCGGCGAAGGAGACGATCCCAGAAGCCGTCCAGTGGTCGCCTGAAGCCACCAGCGCCTCGGTATCGGCAGCAACCACCGGCAAGTGGAAAGTTTGCGAGCGCAGCATGCCCAACCAGAAAGTCAGAGCTTCCTGAGCCGGGTCCCGCAACACTTCGCGACCCTGCTCAGAGAAGAGCCAGAGCTCAATGGCCTCGGATGTTTCACCCATGACACGCCCAACCACTTTAGTGGCGTTCATGCCGACGAGGTCCACCCCAATCCAGGCGGCCTGCGCCACACTCAAAGTGTTAACCGAAGCCGCTTTCACCACGCTTGTAGAAGCCGAAACCAGCTGCGTGCCACCATCCAGAATGGACGAGAGCGCCCCAGCCGCGCTCTCACCAACCTGCGCCGTGGACACCAGCAGGCTCTGCACAGGCATCAAGAGTTCTCGCATTGGCCCAGCCGCCATGACATAGGCCAAGCTGCCCCAAAGCAACAACACGCGAAGCCGAGCCGCTCCTTTGCAGCACGACCTCCAAGCCCAGCTAAACCAGCAGGCCTGCTTCCTTCGAAGAGCGCCCCGCCTAGGGGGATCACGCACTGTGCCGTCTGCAACAGATCCCACCAAGCCACCCGCGGGCAGCTGTGCGCGCACTTCCCGGGTGAGCACCGAGGAGCCGTCGAGCTTGGATCGCCGACCGTTTGGGCGGGCCTGAGAAGCCCGTGGAAGCGGAGTCATGGCCCGCTGGCGCGGCTGAGACCTCACAGAGCGTGAAGGAACCGGCGGCTGGTACTCCGAGGACTCTTCCTCCGAGGCGTCTGCGATCGCCACGGTAACTGGCCGACCCATCGGCTGCCACTGCAAAGCACCCCTTCGGGAAGTAGCCCAGCAGGTTGCGAGAGGCCGTGGCAATTTCGGAATCCAGAGCCCTGCCGCGAAATTCCGCTTCCACCTGCAAAGCGGTGGCCACGTCGATGTACACAAGGAAACTCGCTTCCGACTTCCACCGACCGCGCCTCTGCGCAAGGGTGGGAGCCTCGCCTTTGATGATAGCCTCTGTTGCGAAGCCGGCCCTGCAAGAGTGAGGCGAATACTGCACCCCCAGACATGCACTGTGACGCGCGAGCACCTTGCCCTAAGGGTCCATGCACCCGAATAGTATATACTTTGGCAATAAAGTAATCCCTACATAAGTACTTTGGGCCAAAGTATGTGCTAGTTGGGACATGGACGGTTAGGTTAGATATGAGGCCTCAGCACCACAAATTTCAGGCCCCAAGGGAGCTCTTGGAACTCTCGATTCGTGCGTTGCTGTTGTCCAGTGAAGGCAGCCGACTGGCCACCGGCCCTCCGCCAGTTTGTGGAACAGACCCATCTCGCAGCTGTATCCTTTGTCCTCGTCTTCAGTCCAGTGATCGTTCCGCAAATTGCCGCAAGACCTGAGTGCCACCTAGAACTCTAGCTCCGCTGTCTCCGAGCAGAGGTTCGGCGGCGGCGCCTTAGCGCTCGGAGGATGGGCTCCAGCCCTCGCCTGCGGGGCATCGGAGCCAGCCACAGGTTCGGCCGCGGGCTCTCGGCCTGTTGGCCAGAGGCGGCTGCGTAGAGCTCGGCTTCGTGAGCATCCAGTTTCTGCGAATCTGTACTTCCCAGGAGCCCACTCAGTGATCCAAGGATGGCATCCAAACGAAACGGTCGTGAACAAAACAAACGGTGAACAAACTAATATCGTGTTCGCACAGACCCAGCATCTCTGATGGACGAAGCCCCGTTGCTTGTTGCAATAGCATACAAACTCCCAAACGATGCTCGCTTGCAGCTGCCATCTTACTCGCAATAAACCTAGCCGTCCTAGACAACATAGGAAAAGCATGCTTGGCAGGGTACTCGATCGCCAAACCTTTGGTGACCTTCTTCGCAAGGGGCAACTTTCCCTTTAAGCGCGGCGCCAAAAACCGGATACCCACCAAGGTGACCTCGAACTGTGATCTGGTCAAAGAGGCCTCCCGGCGGAACAACACGAGCCAATCGTCTAGCTCAGCAGCAGAAGTAGGAGCCGCGTCGTTCAGAAGCAAGAAAACCTCAAACTTCTCAACCGCCCTTTCGTAGCGCTCGTAAGTGTCACTCAAGACGGAGTTCACATGAAGCGGGTCGAGCCTGTGCGGTCGGAAGTGGTGCATGCCCGAGCCCTCCCCGGGCCCTTTCACGGATGCTACTCCTCCCGACGCCTTGAGGCCCGATCGGCCGGCATGAGCGCAGATTGGCACCACGAGAAAATGAAGCGCAATCCACATGCAACCCCAAGTGCAGCCCTAAAAATTTAGCCCCCATGACGAGGACCTCCCTTTGGTCATCGCACTCGCACACGGACGGTTATCTTGCAAAGCAAAGAAAACTTGATTATGCGCAGAAGGCCACTGGCACACCAGTTCCAAGCACTTTGTGACAGCCCTGGCTTCTCCTATGGTGATGTGATCAGCCGAATGCCAACGGCTTGCCTGCAGCTCAGTCCACCTAGACTCTTCAAACAAAGACCGGGGCAATCTCGAAAATGGACGTGTAAGCTTGACCATGTCAGCAGGATTGCGCAAACCCTTCAGTCCCCGGTCTTGTTCGGAGATAGCAAACCCCGGCTCTTCACCGGCCCACATCAGAGCCGCAAACTCCTCGCAAGAAGCCTGAGCTACGCAAATCCCAAATCCCCCACAATCAACATCACATCATCAGCTCCCATAGCGTCCGTTGCGAACAGCACTCTGATCACTGGGTCCGATGCCTGCAAAACCATGAAGTCCACAGCCCTAGCCATGGCGATGAGCTCTCGCCTCACCGACGGCAGAGGCGCACAAACTGGCCTTCACAGATGTCCAACATGTGGTACACGGAAAAGGGGATGGAATACAATTCCCGTCCAAGTTGTGCACCGAAACTCCAGATCCCGATCAGTGCCCTGAGCAATTCGATACACACGAAGCGAGCGCTCGCCACTTCGAGGAATGCGGCCTGAAGCAGACGAGCCTTCTTTCGGGGCAATGAAAATTCGCCCTTCTGCGCATCAATCTCATCCCTACCACTTTCGCGATCTCATCACCCGGAAACCTGCGGCCTCCATGTTGTCAGCAATCTCTTCCATCAGCGGGCCCGTCAGCTGGCGCATGCGCCCACTCCGAGAAGCAGCGTATCGTCCACATGCAGATAGAGGCCTAACTGATCATCCCCCAGCAGCACTCGAATGATCCTCAAACTCTTGACTCCTATGCGATCAGAGACTCACCGACCATGGAGCCCAGGGAGCCCGGGCCCCTTTGCAAACAAGCCCGTCGGCCCTTCCCCAGAAGCCTGCCACGCTGTGCACTACTCGATCCCTACACTCCACGACTAGCCGACACATACCTGGAGGTTAGGTCTGCAGCCGTCTCGTGAGAAAGCGACCTTCACTGTCAACCCCCATTGAAAGCTCGTGCCGATGCGAAGGGCTTTCACCGGGACAGGCACGTGTAGCTGCCTGTTCCAGAAACTTTCTCTTCCTCTTGCTCTTGCGTCCAGTCTCGTCCATGCCACGAGTACCGCTTCCATAAGCCACTCCGGCAGCTTCGTGCGATCCACATTTTGAGTCGACTGTCTTTACAGATCTCGGGTCCTACTCGCTAAAATCAAGTGGCAGAACCGCCTTCCAGCCTTTCAGCTCTTGTCCAATTTCTTCCTTTTCATTTAATCTCCTTTGCGCATTTTCAGGATTGGACATTCCAGCCACGGTAGCATGTAGGCAAAGAGTCTCAGTGGTTGACACTTTACAAAGATATCCAGGATTTTCATGGAGTTTGTGGTTGGATCCAGGAACTCTCACAGAAGTTGGAGTGCGAGGAGAGTGTTAGTTGAGTTTAAAACCAACAATGCCACACCGAGAGTGAAGAAGTGTTTTTTGTGTTTTGTTCTCTTGTTGTATTATGTCGAAGCCGGTGTTTTTTGTTGTTGATGCGGAGGAGGTTTGTTTTTGGCTGTTGTGGTTTTTTGCTGTTGCTGCCGGAGTGGGTATTTTTGCTGTTGTCGTAGGAAGTGTTTGTTGTTTTACTGTTGTGTTGTTTTGTTGTTGCTCCGGGGGTGTTCCGCAAAAACAGCAAAAAAACAGCAACAGCTAAAACAAGAACACATTTACTTTTTTGAAAAGTAAAAACAGATCAGTTGTTGTGCCGCTCTGAAAAGTTGTGAGTGTTTTTGTTCAATCTCGTGGAGTGGACAAGCAAGTGACGAAGAATGGAGGCGATTTGTTTGTCGTGTGTGTGGTCCATGGCAGCAGCATCTGTTTGGACGGCATTTCAGGAGGCGTAACCCACGATTCCGAATTTATTTAACCCCATGGATTGGGAATTGCTTGCGGCGAAAGGTGCAGTTTCTAAATGTAACATGAGTGAATGCTGGTTGGCCGTACAAAATGTTCTGAGTGCTGTGCAGTCTCTTTTCACAAACTCCTTTCGGAATGTTGCAGCAGGGATCAAAAAATCATGTAGGTGAGTTTGGGTGTGCCAATGCCAGTGCATGCAGCGTCGCTTGGAAGCATTGTTCGTTCGAAATCACGGCCTTAAACGACGTGTGTTGTGTGCAAAGGTGTGGCAAATGGCATCGAACTCGTCAGCCGGGAAATATGTGGCGCGGCAATTGCGATTTTGTTGGTAGTTTCGGCAGCGAGAGTATACAAATCAGACGTCATGTTGAATGCCAGCTGCAGAGTTCGAGAGTCTTTGAGGACACGGTCATCAAGTCCGGATTGAAGCTGAAAGGTGGCGACTCCAAAAACAGGCCGAATGCAGGTGTTCGGCGTGTTGCTTCATTATCCATGACATACTATTCAGGGAAGTCGGCGTAAAAGCTGCAAAGAAGACGGGAGCCTACTGGAAGTTTGCACCCAGGAGTAGGACGCTGCATGAAATGTGAAGTTTTAAGTCGCCATTGCTAGACGTACTCCAAACCGAGGAAGAAAAAGTCTCAAGAAGACATTTTGACTGAGCAACTCCAGGCGTTGGCAGCAAGGGTGCTTTTTGCTTGGCATTGCACATGTGCATCGGAGTCACCAGGAGTATGTTTGCAGTCTTGCTGGTTATGCACGGGTAAGGCGAGCGCCGAGCAAGAGCTGCAGGCTGGGGTGGCAACGCGTTATGTGCGTACATGTTGCCCAGCGTCTGAAGCCGCGATGGCAACACTTCGGGTTCATGTGTTGTAGGCTTTTTCGATGCACAGCAGAAGATTCTGCAATTTCCTTCGCCGCTGCAGGAACAGTCTGAGCTGGCGAAAGGAGCAACTCAGGGGCCGACCACGGCGCAAAAGACGTTTCAATTGGCTAGGCACGGGCCTAAACATTTAACGTAAGGGTGTAGGCGACGTCAGAAACTGTCGAATTGCTTTGCAGCGCGTGCTGTGATCAGGGAGAAACGAACAAATCAGCGTGTCAACGAGGCCGCGGAAGTTGCTACACAAGCTCGGATGTTTGGAAGTGGTTGGCTGATGGCCTTTGATGCATGCGACGGGCGTTACCGGACATCATCGTTGATTGAATCGTAGTTGATGCAAGGAGACTCTTGGTCTGAGTTTGAACAACCACACCATTGAACACTCGGAACACTTGCCAACTGTGGCAGGCGATTCAGTTCACGTGACTTGGCAAAAGGAATTGCTGCGCACTAAGACGGTCCTGCTGTCGGAATCCGTGCATGGTGAAGGCATCGACAACGCATGGACAAGCTCAACGCACATTTAGGCAGCTTGTCGGAGCATTTCGACATTCCGAAGGCTGCGACGGTCTGGGTGTGCTTGGATTCACGGGAAAGCATGGCATTAGTGCATTGTGTTTTACAGGTCGGACCTGGATGAGCCTGCAAAGTGCTTTTGTGCTCTGCTTGAGCCCTCGACGCGAAGTCCTCATTAGCTTGCGACTCACAGCGAGCAGAAAAGGTATATTATTATGCGTATGCCGAGTTAACAGGCCTACGATACACGTAAGGTTCAGACATGGTATTGATGGTTATTGATGTCAGCCATCGTCCCATGTCGAATCAGATACACATCTCAGGCGATGCCTGCAGTGTTAGAACATGCTCATACGTAAGCGAGGCACGATAATGCATGGTGGGCTGAAGAGAGCACATTTGTGTCACGTGAGCCGTCGGTTCGAGCTGTGGGTGTTAGATTCACTTTCAAGCTTTCCACGAAAAGCTCAGTCGAAAGGGACATGTCCCAAGAACAGCCCGGGTCAGAAGTCTTGTCGGTTCGATTCCGAGATGCCCTGAATACCCAGAACAAACGGAAAACATGCTTCCCTCCGTTCGAACCTCTTCGGATGAGCCTACGCCTGGCACTTAGTGCTTGAAGCTCGAGGTTCTTGCCGTGAGTCAGCAACCGTGGCGATTCGAAATTGCCCCAGATCTAAACGAGCGTGTGACACAGAGGGAGAACAATTGCTTGCATGATTTTGCATGTCTGTTTGTGTCATGCATGTGCGATCGCTGTACAATTGATAAGGCATGTGTGCTCCGGTTCACTGGCATGTAGCAGACAAAAAGCACAGCGAACATCCAGCAGAGGAGTTCAGACTCAGTGCACCTGCAAGACACAAGCAATGGTCGCTCGGGACAGTTTTTGTGCTCCCCATGCTGCAGCCATGTCGTTTGGCGACATAAAAAAAGCAACACCGGGAACATGGCGTGGTCAAATCTGCAAGTTTCGACTGTAGTGCTTTTTGAGTGGACGTGCAAGTTCTGTACACGCTGCAAACGGGTTGTGTTGCGTGGCATTGTCTCATCAGTTGTTGCATGATTTCCTTTTTTTAATCTTGTCCGAAGCGCCTGATTGTTTCAACCATCCCGAAAGTCGGGGGCGTGCTTTTACCCACCAAGCGGGTTTCACATGTTGTTGATGCAGTCAGCACGGCTCGTCGTACCTTAATTTGGCGCTCCACCACCCAAGGCTTGTCAAGTTTCAGGTGCAAGGCGCATGCGGTTTCGTGTTCACAAGACTTGACAAGTCAGGTCGGACATGCTGACAGAGCCGTGCCGCTGTCTTTGTAAAGAAGGCAGGTAGTCAGGCGAGCTAGCAAGCCAGCAAAGAAGATCAATCAAGTACGTGCGTGCGTGTGTGTGCCTGTGTGCGTGCGTGTTTCTCCGTGTGAGTGTGTACTTTCCTGCTTCATGGGCATCGCGGGGCATTCCCTTCATTTGAAGTACGCAGGCAGACCTGGGGAAATGCGTAGCTTGCTCCTGTCCCCAGCATGTGCAGCTGGGAAAGCCTGATCATCTGATACACCTGCCCTCTCACTTTCGTGCTGTGTCATTCCTTGGCGTCTGGCGTAGCTGCGTCGCGGGTCGAAACATGTCCAAAATACATGCCAATAACGGATGTTTTTTGTCGCAGGCATACTTGGCAGATAAACTTTCGTCTCATCTTTGTTTCCATCAGCATCATTATCCGCATCTTTTTTTATTGTGTTTGTTGAAGATCAACAGTTTATGTACCTGTGCGAGCAGATTGAGTGAGTGAGTGAGTGACTCTCTGCGAATGCGTGTTTAAGGTTGGCACCTTCAGGAAAAATGGTGGCTCGTCATCAGTTTGCTGCACCGGGAAAGAGCAGCTGAGCCGTTGAGAGCCCACCCGCAATGGTTGCAGTTTGCAGTTGAAAAGCTTTACTTTGCGGTTATTGGTGAGATCGGCTCGCGGATCCACACAGTCCATCCGTTTGTATTCCAACCAGCCGCAAACGCTTGTTATCTGCAGGTCGTGCTTCCTGGTGAGTCTGACTACAATGCTGTCACCACGCGAGGCACCAAGCACTTTGCTCAAGGTGGGGTCAACAAAATTGGGTTGCAAAAGCTTTTGTGGAAATGGTCCGAGTCGGAATGACCGACAATTGACCAAGGCCGATGCCTTTGCACGCTCATGTCAACAAGGTTGGTCAATACTTGGAGCGAGCGTGCTTCAACAATGGGTGTGCAGTGTGCTAGGTTGCTCTTGCCAAAGATCTAGAACTGCCCAAGATAAAGGAAGCGAGTTCCTTCCTTAGCTGAAGGACAGCCTTCGCATTGACATGGAGATAAAGTTTCCCAAAAAGGACGGGACATTGTGCAGTTACAGGCTGAATGGACACGGCTGCACGAACATCTTTCCTTCCTG